TGGCCCCGTCTCATTGCACTGGCTCAACCACGTGAACGTGAACTCGCACGCGCTGGACCGGAACCCTTGCACAAGGTGGGCCAGAGACGGGTTCTGCGGGTGGCAATTTGCCAGGCACCATGCATCAGCGTGGCCAGTCGCGTGAAAATCGTCCACGCAGCGCTTCAAGCGCGGCGGGGCGATCGCGGCTGCGTGGGCTGAGTGGGACTCGCGTGCCGCGCTGCTGAACCTATGCAAGTGGCATGCATCGTCATGTGCGATGAGCTCCAGCTCTGGGCGCAACGACCTTAGTGCACTCACGAAAAAGTAACGCTGCGACAAAGATTCCGAGCCCACCAGCTCGCGCAGTGACGCGAGACCCTGAGGCGCTGGGCCCGGGCGCGGAAGACCCGGAGGCCATGGGCCCGGGCGCTGCGCCCGGTCGATGGGGGAGCCTTGGCGGCCTTCCCCTGGCCGCCTCTGGCGCTGCGAGGCCGCTTTTTAACCATTTTTACAAAAACTTGAGCCTCGATTGCAGTCCCCAAGCCCCTCCCATCGCGCGCGGGGTGCCAACGGGCATAAGCACAAACCACTTACGAAGGTAAACGCATGCCAAGCGAACTGCAAGAGATGACCTGTACGCCCAAGAATCCAGCAAAGCCTCGCAATGACAGAAAACATGAGCATGACCAAGCGAGGCTTGCAAGCGCGACTGTAAACACTCAGGGGGCATTGTGTCCCCCGCACGCGTCTCAAGCAAGGACGTCTCTCTGCAGGCGGTGTCTAGGGCATCCTAGGGTCGTCGTCGTCGTCATCGTCGTCGTCATCGTCGTCGTCATCGTCGCCCTCGTCGTTGCCGTCGGCATCGTCGTAATCGTCGTCGTCGTTGCTTTCTTCCTCCCCGTTCGCCTCGTCCTCCCCCTTTTCCTTCTCATCTTCCTCCCCCCTCCTCCTTACCATCATCATCGTCACTATCATCACTATCATCATCATCACTATCATCATCGCCGTCGTCATTGTCATCGTAATCATCGTCGCCTTCGCCGTCGTCGTCGTAATCGTCATCATCGTCATTATCATCATCATCATCATCATCATCATCATCATCATCATCATCATCATCATCATCATCATCATCATCATCGTCGCAATCGTCATCGTCGCCATCGTCGTCGTCATCATCATCAAAGTGAGGGAGAGGGGAGGAGAAGGGTGGCAGCAGAAGCAGGAGGGGTTGGGCCTGAGCTCCCGAAGCATGCCCAAGGACTGGTTTTCCACGAAGATGCCCCCGCGCACATTGACTAGATTCCCAGGAAATGTTTACGGACTGGAGTTTTCTTGTGCCCTGGCCGGGCGTATCCCCCCCCTCGTATTTCTGCCACCCTGAGCCTGCGGACTCCCCCTTCCCCCTCGTCAGCGCCCTCTCCCCTCTCCTTTTATTCCTCCTCCTTCTCCTCCCCCCCTCCTTCCCTGGTCCTAACAATCCATCGTGCCGCTGCTGTTCCTCTTCCACGCCCCCCTCCGCTTCCACCTTCTCCTCCAGTTCTTCCTCCTTCCCCCTCTCCCTTCTCCTCCCCTCCCCCCTTTCATCGTCGTTATCATCATCATCATTATCATCATCATCACCATCATCGTCAGCATCATCATCACCATCGTCATCATCATCAACATAGTCAACACCGTCACTATCATCATCACAACTATCATTGTCGTCAAGATCGACGTTACCATTGTCGCCACAAGCACCATGATCAGCATCATCATCGTCATCATCATCATCGTCATCATCATCATCACCATCATCAGCAGCATCAGCATCAGCATCAACGTCATCATCATCATAACCATCACCATCACCATCACCATCACCATCACCATCACCATCACCATCACCATCACCATCATCATCATCATCATCATCATCATCATCATCATCATCATCATCATCATCATCATCATCATCATCATCATCATCATCATCATCATCATCATCATCATCATCATCATCATCATCATCATCATCATCATCATCATCATCATCATCGCCGCTGGGGCCGCCGGGGCCGCGGGGGCCGCCGGGGCCGCCGGGGCCGCCAAGGCCGCCAGGGCACAGGATCTGCCAGGTCTGCCAGGGCCGCGCCGGGGCCGCAGGCGCCGCCGGGGCCGCTGGGGTTGCCGGGGCCGCCGAGGCCGCCGGGGCCGCCGAGGCCGCCGGGACCGCTGGGGCTGCCGCCACAGGATCTGCCAACACTGCCAAGGCCGCTGGGGCCGCCGGGGCCGCCGGGGCCGCCCGTCGCCGGGGCCGCCAGGGCCGCCGGCGCCGTCGGGGTCGCCGGGGCCGCCAGGGCCGCCGGAGCCGCCGGGGCCGCCGAAACCGCTGGGGCCGCCAGGGCCGCTGGGGCCACAGGATCTGCCAGGTCTGCCAGGGCGGCCGGGGCCGCCCGGCAGCCGGGGCGCAGCCGGGGCCGCCGGGGCCGCCGGGGCCGCCGGGGCCGCCGGGGCCGCCGGGGCCGCCGGGGCCGCTGGGGCCGCCAGGGCCGCTGGGGCTACAGGATCTGCCAGGTCTGCCAGGGCCGCCGGCCGGGGCCGCCGGGGCCGACGGACCGGCCCCACAGCCTGTGGCCCACAGCCGGAGCATCATGCCAGCCACTGGGGCCTTCGGTGGAGCTCCCTGGGGCCACGAAGCGCTGTTCTGGGTGTGGCGGACGCATGCGGGCACCCCCACTGGGGCCTTCGGTGGAGCTCCCTATGGGGCCACGAACGCTGTGCTGGGTGTGGCGGACGCATGCGGGCACCCCCACTGGGGCTTTCGGTGGAGCTCCCTAATTATGGGGCCACGAAGCGCTGTGCTCGGTGTGGCGGACGCATGCGGGCACCCCTGGGACCTTCGGTGGAGCTCTGGGGCCACGAAACGCTGTGCGTGGTGTGGCGGACGCATGCGGGCACCCCCACTGGGGCCTTCGGTGGAGCTCCCTATGGGACCCTGGGTTTGGCGGACGCGGCGGGCCCCCCACATGGGGCCTTCGGTGGAGCTCCCTATGGGGCCCGAAACGCCGTGTGGGTTAGCGGACAGCAATGAGGGCACACCCACTGGGGCCTTCGTGGAGCTCCCTATGGGCCACGAAGCGTTTGTGCCTGGGTGTGGGCGGACGCATGCGGGCACCCCTAACGGGGCTTCGGTGGAGCTCCCTATGGGGCCACGAAACGCGGTGCTGGGTGTGGCGGACGCATGCGGGCACCCCCACTGGGGCCTTCGGTGGAGCTCCCGATGGGGCCACGAAGCGCTGTGCTGGGTGTGGCGGACGCATGCGGGCATCCCCACTGGGGCCTTCGGTGGAGCTCCCTAATTATGGGGCCACGAAACGTTGTGCTGGGTGTGGCGGGCGCATGCGGGCACCCCCACTGGAGCCGTCGGTTGAGCTCCCCATGGGGCCACGAAACGTGTGAGGGGTGTACCGAATGGGGTGATGATGGCGATCATGACGGTGATGGCGATGATGATGATGATGATGATGATGATGATGATGATGATGATGATGATGATGATGATGATGATGATGATGATGATGATGATGATGATGATGATGATGATGATTGGATGATGAGGATGAGGATGAGGATGAGGATGAGGATGAGGATGTGATAGATGACGTCGATGGTGATAGATATCTGGTGATGATGATGATGATGATGATGATGATGATGATGATGATGATGATGATGATGATGATGATGATGATGATGATGATGAATGATGAATGATGAATGATGAATGATGAATGACGATGATGATGATGATGATGATGATGATGATGATGATGATGATGATGATGATGATGATGATGATGATGATGATGATGATGATGATGATGATGGGGAGGAGGGGCGAGGAGGAGGAGGAGGAGTGAACGCGGGGCGCTGTCTCTTCAAAACGAGGACCCAATACCACATGATGGTTGGGAAAACACGAATCAGGAGGAAAAAGCGGTCCCGGGGAAAAGGTCGGGACTTCCAGGGGCGCCGTCTTGAAATTATCCTGGCGAAGGACCCAACCATATTCAGTTGTGAGTAACGCATTGTGGGTGCCGTTATCGGTGGGACACGACACGCGTGCGGGGCGTGCCGTAATGGGTGTGGCGGACGCGTGCGGGCACCCCCACTGGGGCCTTCGGTGGAGCCCCTATGGGGCCACGAAACGCTGTGCTGGGTGTGGCGGGCGCATGCGGGCCCCCCCACTGGGGCCTTCGGTGGAGCTCCCTATGGGGCCACGAAGCGCTGTGCTGGCGGACGCATGCGGGCACCCCCACTGGGGCCTTCGGTGGAGCTCCCTATGGGGGCACGAAGCGCTGTGCTGGGTGTGGCGGTCGCGTGCGGGCACCTCCACTGGGGCCTTCGGTGGAGCTCCCTATGGGGCCACGAAACGCTGTGCTGGGTGTGGCGGACGCGTGCGGGCACCCCCACTGGGGCCTTCGGTGGAGCTCCCTATGGGACCACGAAACGCAGGCTGAGTATGCGGACGCATGCGGTGCACCCCCACTGGGGCTCTCCGTGGAAGCTCCCTATGGGGCCCACACGAAACCTGTGCAGGGTGTGGCGGACGCATAGCCCAGCACCCCCACAGGTGCCTTCGGTGGAGCTCCCTAATGGGGCCACGAAACGGCTGTTTTGGGTGTGGGGGGGGGCGGGGGGGGGACGCAAGCAGGGGGCACCCCCACTGGGGCCTTCGGTGGAGCTCCCTATGGGGCCACGAAACGCCGTGCTGGGTGTGGCGGACGCATGCGGGCACCCCCCCTGGGGCCTTCGGTTGAGCTCCCTGTGCTGGGTGTGGCGGACGCATGCGGGCATCCCCACTGGGGCCTTCGGTTGAGCTCCCCATGGGGCCACGAAACGCTGTGCTGGGTGTGGCGGACGCATGCGGGCACCCCCACTGGAGCCGTCGGTTGAGCTCCCCATGGGGCCACGAAACGTGTGAGGGGTGTACCGAATGGGGTGATGATGACGATCACGACGGTGATGGCGATGATGATGATGATGATGATGATGATGATGATGATGATGATGATGATGATGATGATGATGATGATGATGATGATGAGGATGGTGATGATGACGTCGATGGTGATGATGATGGTGATGATGGTGATGATGATGATGCTGATGATGATGATGATGATGACGATGCCGATGACGATGATGATGATGATGATGATGATGATGATGATGATGATGATGATGATGATGATGATGATGATGGCGAGGAGGAGGAGTGAACGCGGGGCGCTGTTTCTTCAAAACGAGGACCCAACACCACAAGATGGTTGGGATATATCAAGACGTCGCATGTCTGGGTCCCGCTGATCCCGCTAACCTCGTAACATCCT